GGATAGCGTGCGCTCGTGTCCACGCCGTAATCCCCAAGGCACCCCCTTCGCCAGCCCTCCCTACGCCTCCTCCGCAGCTTGAGAAGGATGCAAGGCAGCAGAAGGCGAGGAGAAGACACCAAGATGAGACAGCAGAAAGCGAGGAGAGAGATGCAACAACCGATCTACTTTTGAAACATTGAGATACAACCCTTACAATATACGTCTAAAAACAATGAAACATTTAAAACATGAGTCTAAAATGCTTGAAAAACACTTGAAAACAAGTGCAACACATGCACAACATCAAGATAAAAGCTTGCAACATATATGTGAATATATGCAACATCCAAATAAACACACTTGCAATATACGTCTGAAAAAAGAGATGAAACATTGGGAACAAACGTTCATAACATACGTGTACAACCATTGCAACATATACAACATCTCAATCTACTTTTGCAACATCCATACGAAACCATTACAATATACCTCTGAGACATAAGAAAAACTTAAAACATACGCTTGCAACATGCGCTTTTAGTACAAGCACAATGTCACCTTGCTGCTTGGACGAATGGAGCTCGTTGTTGTGGACTCGACACCGGTGTGGATCTTGATGCCATGGCGTGCGCGGAGGTCGCTGGTGCGGAGCTCGGCGGCGGCATGGACCTCGGCAGTGGCCGCGACAGGTGGATGGAGCGCTCCCGCGACGGGAGGCGCGAGTACGGGCGGGGGGTGTGAGGCTCGGACGGGGCGGCGCCGGCGAGCTGCGCGGGTAGAATCCGTCCTGCTACCACGAGCGAGGGCGCACAGCACAGAGCGGCGCGAGCGACGTGGGCGAATGGATGAGAATGGAGAGGAAGTCAGGTGAGCGACACGGGCGAGTGGATGGGATGAGCCACGTCCGGATGGGAAGTCACGGGACGGACCAGCCATATCATTATTAATTTTTTTTGCACAACTTTTTTGTAAAAAGGATATTTAGATAATTTTAAGAGAAAAATATTTCAATAATTTTTTGATAAAATCATCTGACTCTTAAATTATAAATGTAGTCTGATTTATCGTAATATCGTTTTTTGTAGCTGACGTAACGAAGAAAGGATGGCTGACATTACATCACGTCGGACAAAACAGTTATTGTAACCGCCTACAGAGCAATTTCGACCGGTTTCAAAGTTGAAGTAACTATAAACAAATCCGGCATTCAATTGCAGAGGTAAATTAAACTTCGATGACTATAGAATGTTAAAATTCATCAGCGAACTAAAAACTCCTGGGGTTTGCCCTCCAAGCTTGATGGCTATGGTTGCAAAAGACGGGTCATGATCGCGCGTGGAGCGCGCTGCCGATCAAAACAGCTCCTGAGGTACAGGCTTTCTTCCGTGCTTCACAATCGGTGATGGACGTACGGCCCTGTTCTGGGAAGACAGATGGATCCAGGGGGGGAATGCATCAGTGACCTGGCGCCATGCATTTACCAGCTAATCCCAAACCAAGTTCGCCAACGGCAATCAGTAAGGTAGGCGCTGCAGAACAGACAGTGGGTGCGTGCCATCTCCGGCGGCCTCTCCCAAACGGCTCTTGAAGAATACCTAGAAATCTGGAACATCATGCAACAGATCAACCTGACCGATCAACCGGACAAGCTGGTGCGGCGATGGACACCTGATGGTGTCTACTCGGCCAAGTCGGCATACACCATGCTTCACAGCGGCGCAATTACGTTCCGAGGACACCAGCTGATTTGGAAGACTTGGGCCCTGCTACGAGTTAAGATCTTCCTTTGGTTGACTTTGCGCCGCAGGCACTGGACAGCAGACCGGCGGGCTCGCCACGGGCTCGATTCGAGAGACCAATGCTACCTCTGCGACCGAGCCCCGGAAACAATTGACCACATCGTCGCCTACTGTTCTTTCACTTGGGAGCTCTGGTACTTCATCTTGTAGGCGCTCGGCTTCCAACTACCCCAAGTAGCACAATCTACAATCAGCTGGTGGCGGAAGTTGCGGAAGCTCTCCGATGGGCAGAAGCGTAAGGGGCTCGACTCTTTGTTTGCGCTTGTGTCTTGGCAAGTATGGAAAGAACGGAATGCAAGATGTTACAATCGCGGAAATGCTCCATATCATCGAGATGGAGGCTGATCTTGGATCGAAGCCGAAGCAGGCTAGCAGCGCCTCGCCTTTATGTCTGTTGTTGTTTTAATCAAAATGTAGTTTGTTCCTGCCACCGGCTTGGCCGACTAATCTTGTAACATAAACTCTTTTCCTTCTTAAATGCAATGATACGCAGATCTCGTGCTTATTCAAGAAAAAAGAATGTTAAAATTAAAAAGGACCCTTTCCAATTGAAAAACGAATCGAACTTTTTTTATAAAGAAAAAATGAATCAAACATGTAAGGATGTGTTTGGTTCGATGAATATCAATGGATGAGATATGGATATCTATGAATACAGGGTGTTTGGTTGGATGGATCAAGCTGAACTTGGATATCCACAACAGAGAATATTCTAGATAGATGTTGAATATCGTGGCCCTCGAAAATCTAGCGGATTAGGATATCCACATGTTGATTAGCATATGTTTGTGTAACAATTAGAGTAGTATAGTGCTAATTAACATATTTTCTTTTTAATTAGTGATTATAATGACAAGATTAGTGTCATTGTATATTTATTAGTGTATAATCATTTGTTAATATTTTTAAATAATAGATATAATTAGTCAAGTATTCTTATCCCATGCAATCTCATCTATCCAACCAAACAGAAAAATGGTTCGTTCCATCCATCCAACTAAACAAACAATATGGATATCAATATCCTAAAGTCCATGAATAGTCATATCCCATCCACCCTTGTCCTCGAAACAAACACACCCTAAAGACAGGGCTGAAACACTTGAATTATTATAAGCCCATTTGTGTCACCAGTCCGACTCTGGGCTATGAACTGTGTACGCTCGGCCGGGCCAGCCCATGCATACAACGGACCCAACTTCAGAAAATAAGAACCAAAGGGGCCGAAGCCGAAGAGTAGAATACAAAACCACCTTGTTCGTCGGCGGATCCGCCGAGACCCGCACCGCCGCACCGGCTTTTGTTGGCTAGCACTAGAATCGTGCGCGACCACCTACCGATGCATCCGTCCGTCCCCCGCCCCGCCCCCCGCTCCGCGTCCGCTTTCCAGCTCTCCACCGCTCTCTCGCACGTCGCTCCCCTCCCCAAGTCATCCCATCCCTACGCGGCTACGCCCGCGGCCGCGCCACCGAGTCCAGAAGCTTCTAGAAGGGGGAGGGTGGTCGCATGACCGTCTGATCGGCCGTCGCCATGGGATGCGCTGGATCCACTCCAAAGACTGAAGGTCTATCCTCCTGCCTAGTCTACTGTGTTCTTTTCCGTTGTTTTCTGTATGGTTCAGATTGGGATCTTGTGTTAGATGACCGTTGCATCTTCTGTAATTCGGTTCTGGAACCGAGTTTAGAGTACAGTGGGTAGCTAGTTTGTTAGCGTCCTTGGTTCTTGTATAAGCTGGGTAGTGATTGGTAACTCGAATTAGCTACGCCTGCTATCGATGGTTAATTGAGCTCCAGGACCATCACCAAGGTAGCACCAGGGAAGAGCCGTGATCGGCTTATCTGTAGCACAGCTTCTTGTGAATCGTGATGGAGTTCACGGCCAACGGATGGACGGAGAAGATATTAGTATTGTAGTATTGCCACAAGGCAATTGAAGGGAGGACCTGTTCTCTTTTGGGCAAAAGGCAGATCATACAGTTGCTGGGGAGACAAAGATATGACTGGTTGTCATGAAAGTAACTGGACCTGACAGTTTATTCTTCATATTACAGATGCACTTCTGCAGCTCTGCTCATGCCCAGCAGGATTAAAGATGAGACAGTAATACAGTGTGAATGGCTAGCTGAGATGATGGTTTATTCTTGTTGTTGGAGGGAATCCATTTCATTGGTTAAACAAAATTTCTTTCCTTAGGGTAGCGAAATCAGAGATACAGTGATATGCAAGATGAATTGAAGCGATAATTTGATCTATTTCTAGGAGGAAAGCCATTGATTGATTAAGAGGATTTGCTTTGTGTTAGATAATTATTTTGGTTGCACCAACATTATCCATCAGGTGCAGATCAGATAGGAGCAAGATGACGATAGCAGATTGGTTGCCTGTGCAGTCCCCTTTCCTTGTTTGAAAAACACTAGTCATGCTGTTGAACCACAAGGGACACGACTTCACCCTTTTTTTATTATTCTGATCTGATGGATCCTTACGGTACTAGTTTAGATTACTTTAGAAGGTTTATCAAGCTGTAACATTTTTGTATGCCTCAAGAAAATCGTTTTTAAATCTAGAGAGTTAGGTTAAATGTTTATCTTCTACCATCATGTGAAGAATTTAAGGAGTGTAAAACTAGTGTCTTTACATGCTTGTAGACTACAGGCAAAAAATAGTGGTATTTTGGAAAGCATGTGGTCAACCATATAATATGTTGATACCATTTTATTATAAAAAAATGACTTGGCATGCTGTAATGGTAATTTTTAAATTTGTAAAAAAAAACATTTGCATATAAGTTATATGTTCATAAATATACTACAGTTAAAACTTTTTTTTTTTGGTGAGGAACTACAGTTGAAACTAATGTTGTAAGAAAATCAGTTACTGCTCTGGCATCCAAATCATCACTTTCTTTTTACTAGAGAAATTAATAGGTTTGTTTTTAAACAGGTCTGTTCAAGTATTGCATCATCATTTTTTAGATAGAGGAAATATTTCGTCAGCATGCTCAGATCTTTGTTTAGAAAGAGCAAAAATGACATCTATCATAGGTCAATGCTTGGAGGTAGAACGATATTTGGCCACGTTTTGTGTACATCCCTTGTATGTTTCTTGATAGCATTAGCTTGGTCGAATGTGGTCTGATGGCATTGCTCATTTACAATGGAAATCATCGTGCTGATATACTCACTTATTAATGCTCAACATTTTCTCTTTGTCTCAGATAACGGTAAGAAGTTGAAAAAACCAAAGCCTTGGAAGCACACCCAAGCAATAACACCGGCACAACTCAGACAGATGCGTGATGAATTTTGGGACACTGCTCCTCACTATGGTGGACAGAAAGGTACATTGTATATTTACTGATGGCAGCTTCAGTTTTCTACTGTTGGCATTTATTAGTGAATCTGTGATGCATTTATACTGCATGTTGGACCACTCTTTTTTCCCCACCTCAGATGATGGGCCAGTCTGATTCGACTGGGATTTGCTAAATAAATGTGTGCAGCACAATACTTTGAGTTCACGTCAAAATATTGTTGATTTTGCTGTCTTGGCAGTTCACCCCTCAAGTTGGTGTTAAATTTGACATATCAACTGTTGTCTTAAAAGGAAAAGAAATATGTATGTAGAGGCACCATAAGTTCATAGCTGACCATGTAACAAGAGTAGAAATTGACATCTGCTATGCCACTCAGGGAATGAACAGCTTTTGACGGTTTTGAATTTGTGACCATCTCATGCAAATTTGTCATGAGTATACTTCTAAACTCGTGCTGTTTTGTAATTTTACTTTATTATTATGCGGAAAAGGTTTAGAACATGTAGATGCTTTGAAACTTTCATGAATTTACTGAAGTGTATGGTCTTGTTTACATAAAAATATTTATGTTCTGCTGATGACACACACACTGAACACGCTAGATACAATAATTTTTTTTTTATGAAACTTGGCTCCTCCCATTTCCGTTACCATGATAACAGAAAATTAAATACAATCAAATAGTTAAAGAACTGTTTGCTGCGGTGTTTTTGTTACACTAAAATTAACTTCGTATTTTTCCAGAGATTTGGGACGCACTTAGAGCTGCTGCAGATTCTGATTTAGCGCTTGCACAAACCATAGTGGATAGCGCTGGCATCATTGTATCAAATTCTGACATGACACTTTGCTATGATGAAAGAGGTATTCTGTATACATATCATGGTTTGGTGTAATCTGGTGAATTTTCAAATTATTAATCACCTTGTACGCTATATTGCAGGTGCCAAATATGAACTTCCAAAGTACGTTCTAAGCGAGCCAACAAATTTGATCAGGGATGGTTAAATTCTTAAAATAAAAATGGGTCCAATGTAAATTATGTAAATCACATTTATTCACTGACATCAACGTTGACCTGATTGGAACTTCAATAATATTATGATGATGTGCTCGATTCTGATTTGCGCTGTTCTCCTACTTCATGTCCAGTTGTCCCTTGCCCTGGATTGTAGCGTGGTGAACTCTCATTCGGTCATACCTTAAAGAAGAACTAACCATAAACCTCAGAATACAATAGCTACTGCTTGTCTCAGCTAGTTAAGTGGATCTGAAGGACACTTGAAGGTTTCGTGGTTTTGCCTATTATCAATCATGTGCATTATTAGTCACTTTCACTGAAACAGGTTCGAGAATAATCTTCTTTGCTTTGGCCTTCAAATGGTGTACTACCTGTTCTCAGCATTTCTGCACCAGGGCCTTTTTGTCAAAGCAGCAGTGGTTAGCATTGCAGCATGCATCACATGTTGCATTTGTAAAGGGCGCTGACAGTTTTAGAGCACAGGACAGTCAGTTGGTGCTGGCTATTTTTCTGCTGTTTTTGGTTGAGCCATCACCTGCATAGATCCTTTGCACCTAACCAGATCTTTTGCTTGACCTCCAGTACTGTCGTTCAATGTCTCTGTCGTTACCCTGAAATTGCTTCCGTGCAAGTGCAAGAAGGCTCAATTATCTGGTCCTTCTCACTGGAATGACTTGTACCGACAGATTGACGTGTCTCTCTCGATCTCTGTTAATGCAAAGATTTTCCAGCGTCAGGACAAGGGTTGCACCTGGGACCTGGCATTCATGATTGCTGCTGCTGGATTCATTCACGGGCTTTGATCTGGAAACAGGCCAGTTGATGAGCGGCTGGGACCTTTGCGTGTGTTGCCAGATCTGAGATCCGGGATCGGCTTGGTTTTTTTTTTTCACGATGGATCGCATGAGCTCAGGTTTTGTGGTCTGGCGGGTTGTATGAGGAAGTAGGAGCGGCAGTAGAAACTTGGCGCAATTGCCGTAGCACAGCGGGCTCAAGCCTCTTGATGTGCACTTTCTTTTACACGTTAAAATCGGGCCCGTCTCTGAGTTGTTCATCTTCTTGTATTTCGTTTATCTACAAAGACCGCAGCAAAAAATTTGGAGAAGTTCGGCAATAACAAATTTGAGCAAGATCAGAAGTCTGACGGACTATTCTTTTGTTTAACGCTGCTGCTAGAAAGAGATTCCATGACGTGCATTATAAACACGTTGGTATTCACAATTGAAAAAAAGGAAGAATAGCCATTTTGGTAATTCAACTATTACTCGAGGCTCAGTTTCATCTCTAAACTTTCAAAACGTCCGTTTTAGTCCTCAAACTCTACTTTTAGGCTCAATTTCATCCTAAAATTATGAAGATGATCGTTTTAGTCCTCAAACTTTGCATTTTGGGATCAATTTCATTTATAAACTATCAAAGTGTATTTTGTTCTTTAAACTTTTATTTTCAACTCAACTTTGTCTACGTTCTACGTGGAACGTTGCACTGTTGCACCTAGTTAGCTCCAAAACCACCGGAGGTTGGAGATAGAAAAATAATATTCATCCAAAAACTCTTTCGTGGCCATTAATAATTCCAAGCTGTTATTTTTAGCGTTACCTTATAATGGTACCATTTATATATATCCGACTAAATAATATTTTGTGGGAGCAATTACAGTTGCATGGAACACTACTTATTCTTTAAGAATACATGGATATATTGAAAACAATAGAAGATCTATAATTTTGATAATTTATGGATGAAATTGTGCCTAAAATATAAAGTTTTCTTTTTGAATAGACAAAATTGAGTTGAAAATAAAAGTTAAATGCACTTTGATAGTTTATGGATGAAATTGAGCCCAAAATGTAAAATTTGAGGACTGAAACGAACAACTTCGTAGTTGTAGGATGAAATTGAGCCTAAAACTAAAGTTTAAGGATCTAAATGGCCGTTTTAAAAGTTTAGGGATAAAATTGAGCCTCGAGTAATAGTTGAGGGACCGAAATGGCTATTGTGCAAAAAAAAAAAAAAATAGTGCTCGTACTGGAAAGATGCCCAGCGGCTCCTGACACGGCCAAATTCAAATTTGCTGCCCGCCCGTGGCCCGTGCCCTTGTCCGGGCATTTCCTTTCGATCCCAGGACCCAGGGCTCACTTCTTGTTCCGGCTCCATTTGTCAGTTCATGGTTCAGCTGCAGCCTGCAGGAAAACAGTGGAGTACTCCGTACTCGTACAGTCGTACTAGTACGTGCAAAATCGAGTTCACAGTCGTACTAGTACGTGCAAAATCGAGTTCAGATAGATGGAGAGCAAGCAAAGGCGATGCACCATGAGTTTGATGTAGTTTTGAGGAAACAAAAAAGCCTGGCATGCTGGCGAGTGAACAAAGGCGATGCAGGAGGAACAAAAAGCCTGGCCGCTGGCGAGTGAACTCGAGCGTGCGGCTGCAAAGCTACTTTTGTCCGGGCCAAAGACAGAGCCTAGTGCCCAGATGCTGAGATGCATGTGCATGGAGATGGGAGAAGTCAGAAGCGCAGCAAGCGCTTGTGCGGCGGCACACACGATGCGGAGTCCGTAATCGAGCGTTGTTTGATTGGAGCTCTGGTTCCCAAGTCCCGGCTCAACTGCTAGTTTATGCCGCGACGGGATTAGGCAAGATTCTGCCTACGGACGGCTATGGCTACTCTATTGTCTATGCGCAACTGAGATTAGCCCACAACATATCCACATGCTGATCGTAGCACGGGAGTAGTACTATAGTGCTCCTAGTTGATATGGAAGCTATACAAGTGTTTACTCGCAACTTTTCATCGTAGCATGGGAGTAGTACTGTAGTGTTCGGCTGGTATCAAAAGACCGATAAGCCGGCTGAAGTTGTTTTATTGTGAGTTCTAGCTGATAAGTCGGCTGATAAGTTCAAACGAACAGGTGCTCCTAGCAGTTTTGTGATGGAAAATGTAGCTAGCTAGTGCACTAAAGTACATCAAGCTGTGAGTCTATCCTCTAGCAAAGCTTGTTGGAGGAAAGGAGATTCGCTTAGCATACTCAGTTGTGGTGGTGATGGTGGTTAGGATTTGATAGGGAAAAGATTGTGTGCCATGGGAGCTTGAGTGACCTAGAAGGCTTTAGATTCGTTTGATCCACCCTGCTATAGTCTTTTGTTCAATTCATCATCTAATATGTCAGGGAAAGCTTAGGCCCTCTTTGTTTTGCTGAAATTTGGCTTATGCTGACTTGTTGTGAGAGAAAAATATTATTCGTTCGCTGAAAAGTATTACTGAAGTAGTGCTGCAGAACATAGTCTTAATTGTTCAGCACTCAGCGGCTTATGAACCTAAGCATATGCATCATGAGTAATATTTTTTTCTCAATTATGCAAAAGGTTTACGCGTATTTGTATTAAGGTAGAGAAAAAATTTAATACAACATGCCTTAACAGCGCCCTAGGGGGTCAGAAGATTGTACATGGTTGCTCAGACCCTCCCTAATATACTACAAACTATGTTGTTATACTGGACACTGATGAACCTGAATTACGTCGCCGGCTAGGAGACTATGGCTGGGCTGCCGAGCAGCGGCGGCGGCGGCGCTGCTTGCACGCACCCACATCGTCGTCCGATGGGAACAACTCACGTAGTGCCTATATATTACTGGGTCACTGCTGAAGATTTTATCGTAGGCTTTCAGGGCTGACGCTGACGGAGACGACATACCGCTGGCGCTTCTAGATAAATTGTTCATATCGTTTGGACGTCAGGATAATATGCTTTGGGACGCTATCTGCTTGCTTCACTTGAGAAGCGCGGGCGGTGTGAGTCCGCCCGTGGGTAGTATCATGAGTAGTATAACACCTGCGCGCATGCATTTTCAATTGAAAAAAAGAAACTACGAATGTCAGCATCGTTACTCCTCGCTGCTGCATGGCGTTCACCACTAAGGCCTCCTTTAGAATGCACAAATATTTTTTCTTTACAAATAAACTTACTTTTATAAATTTATATGACTTTTGTGAAATTTCTATATTCAATGGATCCTAAATAAAAGTAGAATTAGACGACCGACGACGTTCTAAGAAGCTGGGCAATTCGCGGACCATTCGAAAATGGAACAACTAGTGCCGTTTGTTATGCCATTTCTCAGTCTCTCCGATAAGCTCGAGAACAACTTCAGCGGTACTTTTCAACGAACTAACAGTGTTTTCTCTCACAACAAATTAGCATAAGCATGAATATAAGTCAAATTTCAGCGAAACGAACAGGGTGATAGTCGCGTTCTTTGGCAGTCTGTTTTACCGCTTAGGGCCTGTTTGGATTGCAGAAAAAAAATTCTATTCCTACGTTTTTCTTATGAAATTGAACTGATTCCTGTGAGATTTCTGTGAAATTTTTGTATTCCAAACATGCCCTTATACTGAAAGAAAGAGGTGAAGCCGCACTCAACCAAGATCAAGAGTTGTTATAAAAAAAACAAGATCAAGAGCCCCTGTTCGTTTGGCTGATAAGAATGAAAGTACTGTTAGCTGATTTGTTGTGAGAGAAAAATACTGTTCGTCGGGTGAAAAAGTATGGCTTATCAGTCTGTTCGCTGGTTGATTTCTAGGCTGATAAGCTTAACTGATGCTGATTTATTGTGAGAGGAAAACACTATTGACTGACTGGCTGAAACCATTAAACGATATAAGCTAAGGGCGAGTAGATTCTGACAGCGCACTCGAAGGCGGCGCATGGGCCTCCTCACTTTCAGCGCCTCCTTGCCATGCGCAGTACCAGCAAGAATCCTGAATCGACCCTCCCGTCTCCATTTGACAGATGCTGCAGCAGAATCTGTAGTAATGATTCGAGTTTCGAGCATCCGCCCATGGGCCGCCGCGAGCTCGAGCCGTTCCGCGGTGTGTCTGTGCTGTGTGGCCGTCGCGGAGGACGGGCGAACCCTACAGGGACCGGCATTATTCTCCTGCGATCTAGCCGTTCCGAGAAACGACCAGACCACGAGCGGCGCGTCCA